TGAGGAGAAACACTTTTACTGACTTTAGTCACTGGACTTTTTGAATTCTGAACACTTGATATAGGTTCAACATAGCTTTTAAAACTTTCATTGAATTATCATTCCCTTTAGAGGTAAATGTCTTAGGATGGCTTTGTTTTGTATTTCCACAGCCATTTTTACTCGCTTCTTTCGGCACAATGGTATTTGAGGTGTCTTGTTCAGAAATAACACCAGTTGGCAGCTCTAAAGTATTAGATACGTGAGGGTTCTGTCTAGACACAACGCCATTTATATCAGAGATCTGTACTGATGATTGATTTCCAATTTCAATGCCATGGTCTGTTGTACCTTCTACAGACTCAACATTAGATTCTATATACACTATATTATCATTCAGGGCTTCTTGTTGTGGGATTGTGATTTCTGAACCTACTTCAATGATTTCAAACAGATCTATCTCCTCCTTTACCTCAATCCTATCAACTCTATCATTGGATACTTTAATGGTGATATCGTTCTCAGCACGCACCTGTTCGCCATGGTTTATTATCATATGGGCAGAAAGATATCTTTCTGAGGGACAATCTTTACCACATGCTGTACACTTGAAAGTCAGATTTTCATGAACAATTATGTTATGAGCTTCCAAGATCTCGGCCGAATTGAATTCTTCTTGACAAATTGCACATAGAAACGAAGAAACTGAATCGTTAGCTTCAATTGTTTCCAGATTATATTGTGTTTTATCCATCCCATCAAAGTTCGCTTCTTCTTTGGAAGCAAAACTTAGGTATAATGAGGACGAGACGTTTCATAACAAATTACTGTGCTTGGATGATTCGTCTAATGTTCCTGTGCGACTTTTGTCTGTTTTCGTGCCACGACAGAATTATTTCATGTTGAAGTTATTGCCCATTTCACTCTTTTTACATGCTACCTTCTGGGTAACTCCCTATCTAGCATGAGATCATCAGGTGTTCTAGAAGTTCTAGTACAACAGTGAGTGTAACCTGCTTTACAAATTACTCTTATCACTTCTCATTATGGACAGTAGCGTAGCATCCATAATATTTGACAAATTTAACCAGCAAGATTTTGAACAGAATTTCAGGTCTATTTCTATAGAATTCTGCATATTATTCTTGTAAGGCTTATTAACATCTCCAAAAGGACAAAAAGGCCTTATGGAATGCATAATTTACTATCACATCACTAAATTCACTTCTTAAACAGGTGATATATCACAAATTGTAATTCGATCAATTCTTTAACAAATAAATTCATCTGAATGGCCAATCAACTGAGAGGAACAGTAATTACAAAATTATGCTCAGGTTGTGAGATGGCTTGTTCACACATACTTTGGGGTAAAAATGCATAAGAATCTTAATTGTAAATTTCTCAGAATTAAATTGGGGATACTAACTATTCTTCTATTGGAAATGTCAACCCCCTCCCCTTTGCCTGTTCCCCCACTGGTTACAACACAGGAAGAAACATGAAACAACTGCCATGTGAACCTCCTCTCTTCAAAAATAAAAGAATGATCAGATCTTAAATATTTAATAATCTCACAGCCTGTTACAAATAAAACAAATTAACTTAATGCATCCACTTTCTTTTTATGGACCAGATTTTTTATATAGAATTCCCCAGCTTTGTAAGAGGAACGAACTAATGGACCACTAGCGGTGTAAGCAAACCCCATTTCATCGCCAATTTCTTTCCAATAGTTAAATTTATCGGGGGTGACATATTCCTTCACTTTGAGATGTCTGCGTGTTGGCTGCATGTACTGTCCAAAAGTTAAGCAGTCTACTCCAATAAATCTTAAATCTTTTAAAACATTATGAACTTGGTCATCTGTTTCACCCAATCCCAACATCAACGATGTTTTCGTGATCAGATTTGGATCACAATCTTTCACATGTTTTAATACTGATAGTGATTGTTTATAATTAGCCCGTGGATCACGAACTTGTGACTGTAACTCAGCAACTGTTTCTACGTTATGTGCATACACGTCCAACCCTGCTCTAGCAACCCTTTCTACAGCTTTCAAATCCCCATGAAAATCCGGTGTCAAACATTCAACTAATATCGAAGGTTTATGTGCTTTGATTTCGTGAATCGTTTCTGCTAAATGTGCCGAACCTCCGTCTGGCAAATCATCTCTATCAACTGACGTTATGACAATGTAGTCTAGTTTCCATGACGCTATAGCTTTCGCGGTGTTGATTGGTTCCAGTGGATCAGGAGGGGGCGGTTTTCGTGCTGTTTTTACTGAACAGAAACGACATCCCCTAGTACAAGTATCACCTAAGACCATTATAGTTGCTGTAGCAGTGCCATGCTCACCACCACCCCAACATTCTCCGATATTGGGACATTTTGCTTCCTCACACACTGTATGAAGATTCAAATCTCGAAGAGTTGATTTCACTTCATGGAAATTCTTTCCCATGGGAATTCCTGTTTTTAACCAATCAGGTAACCTTAATCTCTGGATTTTATTGCGTTTTATTGGTTCTTCTGGTATTTCTGGATCATCTTGAATAAAATCTGCCAAGTCTGGTCCATCAGCCAACTTTTCTCTTTGGTCTTTAGTTAATGTAGATTTAAATCTGGCCACTCCACAGCGGACTGATGTTAACTTATTGGCTGGTAATAAACGCTGCATTTTGAATCGTTTGATGAACTTCCTCAACCTGATCTTCTACAACCTACATAGTGATCTGAAAATAGATAATATCATTTCGTCTTGACAAGGTTCAGATAGGAGCTAATGCCAGTAATGGTGATTAGATTGACAATGATTATGCTTAGTGATCTAGCCTAGGGCTAGTGACAGCTGCAATTTTTCTCACAGTTCAATTTTCAAAATACATGTCTTCACTTATCTTGCAGGAGTAGTAGAACTAGAAGTAATCTACACTTTTTAATTGCGCAATATAAGAATGGTTGCATTCTTCTGTAGTTCTACTGTAACAGACAGATAACAAAGCCAATGTCACAAGCAAAAGATTACTATTACGTTCGGATTCTTGAATGTCGAAAGCCCTCTTCGTCTTCAATCAAAATTTGAATTTGAGATACAAAACGATGTGACAAGCGTATGCTTATTTGGTATATGTATGTCCGAGACATATATCGACACAGAATCTACATTGCCTTAGTTCATTGTCTTAATATGCAAAAGAATCAATCAATTACCTACATTCAGCAATCAAAACAAAATTCAATCGAAAGTTTCATCAACCGGAAATTACATAAATTCTGTGGTGGTGTCTTAATTTTGGAAACGGATCTACGACTAATTCGTGTAAATTACTGATTTGGAACTATGAAATAGTCAACTTAAACTGGAGTTACGTCCCATACCTCTTTGATACTGTAGTAACATGCGTTTTTACATACATAAAAGGTGAAACGATATCTTAAACTAATATCAACTGAAAAGGAAGATTTTGACCGGAGTGTGATGTTAAAGAAGCTAAGGAAATACTTAATTTGAGATATTTAGCTGGAAAGTAGGCCTTGGTGTATGATTTAATCTATGCAGAATATGCCTGCTTCATTCTATTTATGTTTGGTGGCCCATGTATGTTATTCGCCGACTTCATTATGTTTTGGCTTGGTATAGCCTACTTGTCACCCGCGTAGGCTAGCCTATCTAGCCTCTATTTAAATATGATTATCATTTCGTTTCATGTTATACAATTATAGATGGAATTCAGTTTTAAACAAAAGAAAAAACCCAGACAAATTTCCAATATTGATAAAATTCGGCATTGAACCTCAATTGATTTATATTCTTATATAGCAGTGGGTTAATTAGGCGTAATTTCTATAATTTACAATGTGTTCCATTAGCATGTTATTGTGTTGTTAGAATACATAATGATATACGACATATACAGCATTAAACCTAATTTCTTTCGAAACGGGGCACGCAGAGCACAACACAATTTTTCGAATCCATTTAAGGGGGCCATGCTGTGGACATTGGAAATGTTTTGGAAATAAAGGCCTTATATCCCACAATTTATGTATAAGAAATAAACAATTTAACATTGAAATAATGCGCTTTTCCACAAAAAGTCATTCTTGGACCGTTAGAGATTGCAACAGTAGTATATTATTAATATCCTTGACGTAGATCATATCGTACTGTTGTCAAAGGAACATGAATAATCGTGACACCAAAAAGTTCTCCGACAGTTAGTCGAATATATTGGGCGATGACCTTGTTGTCCAGGAGATTTTCACACTAACAAATATATCTAATTTATTCAATTGACACTTCGTCTTTACTTCAGTGGTCGGCCAATTTTTGTGGCCGATGGATACACTAATTTTTTGGATTGATTGTAATTGTTGTAATTAAATCAAAAAACGAAAAATTTGTAATTCATTTCTTATCCAAATGAAACCTCTAAAAAGTCGTGTAATGAATAGAATCATTACATAGTTATCATCATTTCTTTGGCCAGTGACGGATATCCAATATGGATATTGAAAAATGACCATTTTTTTTCCAATGGTCTCCTTTGGAATTATGAATGCAATTGCTGGTGCCATTGAGGTCCTGAGATGCCAATCTAACATATTAAGGTGTATAATGTTCTTCTTTCACAATCTGTTTTGATTGTTCGTCTTCAGAAGGTTGACTTTTAATCACTAAGGAATTTCCTACCAGAGCTAATCCGATAAAGAAAGCAAGTTCAAATAGTGCTGCAACGAGCATCATGATCATCAACGAAGGAGGACCTTCCGTGTCGAAAACTGCTCCACCAATACGCGGTAACACGATATCACCCATTCCAGACGCTATCAGAGTGGTCGTTATAGTAAAACCACTCACAGGAACGTATTTATCACTCCAAACTAATGCAGTGGGCAACAACGACGACGAAAACAATCCGATAAGCACAGTTCCAATCCAGAAGATAATCGGTCGGCTTACTGTTGCCAAAACTAGCATGGTCGTAGCACACAGCAGTCCAGCCAAATTCACGGTCAATACCACAAACAGATTAATATACTGTGAAAATATTAAGTTCACAATTCTACCGAACACAAACGAGCCCCAGTACATTGAAGTCATTATTGCCATAGTACTTTTTGTGTAATGAAAGTCGCTTATAACACCGAATTCTGTCAAAAGACCGCCGAACGCTAAACAGAATCCGAAGATTGGGATATGGAATATGAACAGCAGGACCAGAAAAAAATAAGTACTCTGGTTGTTGATCATGGACGCTTTAGAAGGTTTCGTTTCGTTATCGAACTCTTCGTATGGTACATTAGTTTGTTTTCTAGATCGATGGTAATAATATAAAAAACTTATAGCTGGTGGGATCATTATTAAGCCAACAATAACATACGCCCACTGTACGTTGGTATTTTCGAAGGTGTAGCAGTCGGCACTCAGTGGAGGGTTGGTTGTATTCTGACATTCGGTATACACATCACTGTCAGTACTGTGTTTAAAATGTGTCTCTGATAGAAAGGGTTTAGCTATAAATGGTACTATAAAGGATGATATTCCACCTCCTATACAAACAAATTGAAATGCGAAACTCTTATTATCCTTCCATATAACATTACACATTATCAAAACACCTGCAATACAGAAAAGCGAAATTAATTGAATGGGCAGTTGCGCCTTTTTTTTGGAGGGGGGGGGGGGGGGAGGGGGGTGATTTGAGTCTTGAATATATGAAAAAAGTCTTCAGACGTACTAGAAATGTAGGAAAATCAGATAATTCCTTCAAAAATATCTTAAATTAGGAATTTCTTTTCAAAGTTCCATAGGTGTCCTTTTTTTATAAATGGCAGTGCAGTGTCTCGTCGTTTCTGAGACCAAGTTACGATTGGTCCAAAAATGGCACATCTGGCTTTTTTAAGCTCAACCATGCCAATGAACGTATCAGAATACGCAAAGAAATCTGAAGAAAGACTCATTTGAAATCAACTTACAAAAACCAATAACACCTTTAAATATCCCTTGAAGCAGTGTCATGATGACGACATATGCATAGACAGGTACGACTAGTAATACAATATTAATAACACTACCAAATAACACAGAGAGACCTAGAAATAATTCTGTATCGACGTATTTTTTCAGTACCATCGCTGTTACATTACCAATAATAAAGCCGACCCCTGACACAATAAACAGATTACTGATAGTATCTAGATTGACCTTTACCAGGAACTGTAGGTCTAGTAACGCCGGTCCCAATATGCCATTATTAAATCCCTGTAATAATTATACATAATAAATATTTACTATATATGTGTGGGGGTGGGGCACATTAGGCCCTACCAGTAAAACGATTGAAGAATAACCTCGGGGTCAATCCACCAGCAGACTCACTGGTCTATTGGTAATCATGACAAGCAGTTATATCATGTTTCAGAAGAAGAATTAGACGTTTAATTCCTCTCTAATGAAATATAAACGTATTGGCCGGACACCAATCATCCAGTTTTCCAACATTTTATAACAAAAAAAAATCCACGTATTGGTAATATCTACAGAGGCATGTAAACATTAATACATGTATAATTCACCAAAGATATTTTACTTACATTCATGGAAAAAGCATAGGTCAGCCATAATGTTTGAATAAATCTGGAATTTCTCTCGGATGAAGACTGGTTTTCCATGGTGTTTCCAAAATGTCGCAGGTCTCAATCCTGGAATAGGGAAATTGGAAACTACAATATTGAATGTGAAAAATTGGATAAAGGTGGACTTGCCATTTACAGCAGCTAATCAGCTGATCAGACATGTGAGACATACTGGTATTGTTCCAAGTCATTAGAACACCTCTACTTTCTACTCATATAAATATCAGAATTTTCATTTTCATAAATACAAAAAAGGGAACCAATCTTTAAATGAAATATCCAAATGCTCAAATATCTCAGCTCAAAATAATAATAAAACAGGACTGATATTCTTAAAGGGACAGATGCGCCAGTTTTTGACCAACCATACTTTAGTCTCAGAAATGGAATTGTTGTAGTTGCGCCAATCAGTAAAAGTGTTCACAGCTCACCGTCGAAAATTAACCGTCAAATCCATGTGTGTCCAGAATTATCCGCGTTTAAATGTTAAAATGACGACTCGTCGTGAAAACATATAAAGAAACGACATATATAGAAATAGTGAGTAAAATTCCGAATTTAAGGGGTTTTTTTACTGGAATTATGCTTTATTCGTGCATTTCTGAAGACTATTTACATATATTCAAGATAACCCTCCAAAATTACGCATCTGTCCTTTAAAATGACTTTGCGTTGATAAAAAATATACATGTTTTTCAAAAGTTAACATTAACAAAAACACACTGTACTCTCAGAACTTTCAATAAAAAAAGTCAAAAATTTTGGCTGAAAATTGTCCTCTGTAAAAACAAATTTCGAAGACATAATGCGCTCATGGTTTTTATCAACGCAAAATCAATACTATTTTGAGGCTGTTATGCCCAATGTTAAAACGAAAATTTGATTTACGAAAAAACTTGAAAAGACGTTGTCATTTTATAAAAAAATAAAAAACAGTCGCTTACCACCAAGTATAATAATTTCTGTTTTC